CACGAATTGAGAGTACTTCGTCCGCATGGTGGGATCAGTCTGAGTAGTGCATGCCTGCTTATGATAGGAATCACTTTCTCGTTGATGAGTTCCCTTTCGGGATACGCACTCATTCTAACACCACTCCTGGTCGTTGTAACTTTTGGAATGCTGTGCCGCATAAACAGAGATTCACAGGGCAGCTATAAAGCAGACAGCAATTCCATATTATACTAGGCGAGATTGGATCAACTTCCACCCTTCGAAACCAAAGGGCCAGTTTATGTATCCTGGGCAGGCTTCAGTCAGGAGTTCCACCCCCGCGTACATAATGATGCGAAATGCCACTATATCACCCCTCCCTGTGAACGGTACTCGACTCTCATTCCACTCGTCTTACCCCTACGTTCTCGCCGCACTCCATTCACTGAATTCTATTGGGTACCGCAGTATATAGCGTTACTATTCGGAACGCTTTCTCATCCCTGTTCCGGTGAAAAACCAGGAATTTAAATGTTCTCCCTTGGATATGGTCTACTAGTTCCATACGTTGGAATTTTTTTTAGTTTTCTCACTAGTTTCCCATCTTTGAGTAATAGCGTCGTTTGTATGCTTCAAAGTTGCATGCGCATTACTGTATGATTTTTTACGCTTTTTCTGACAAGTCTGCAGAAATTGGTAGTAAAATTGTTGTTAGATCTGACCTGAGATCGAAGAAATCAACATGCGAGACGTCTGTGACCTTTCCAACAGCTTCGAGAAGAGAGTCAAGACCTTTAACACGTTGATGACGGTGTCGGACAATGGTGGGCGACAGCCAGTCTGCATGGGACGGTGTCGGACAATGCTGTCCGACAGGCATATACTGCCTTCTATAATAGACGTAGCGAGAACCAAATTTTGTTCAAAGATGTCTATAGGAGTAGGCTGAAATTCTGAAACGAACAGCACAGTGGTTTGACCCGGACTGCCCGGCGCCCGCGCCACAGGCGCCGGCGCCAAAGTACCTTAGGTCACCAAAAGCGCTGAAAACTTGTTCGTCGATAGCTTGCAACGCTGAACGAATATCACATTCGGTTTCGGCGAAATGCTTGAGCGCAAGAAATACTTCAGGTCACCAAAATCGTTGAAAACTTGTCTCATGGGTTAGCTTGACCCCTGAACACAAATATCACAATCGCTTGCCACAAAACTGCCTAGCGCCCGCGCCGAAATGTCCTATAGATCATCAAATTGCCCTGAAAACTTGTCCTTACCGGTGAACCGACCCCCTCAACAAAAATATCATGTCCACTTAACGCGTTGACGACGATTTCCGTCAATGGTGGACGACAGAAAGTTTGTCTTGTGGAACGGCGTCGCCCAATGCTGTCCCACAGTTATTATATAACTCAAAATCTGCGCGATTGTTTCACTTACTTTTCATAAAATTAGTTTCAAGAACAAGCATTTTCCGGTCGAGGGGATGCGATATTGTTTAGGGATGAACCACAGCCGGGAGAAAATTTTCATCAATTCTGTCTTGTGTAGATAGAATTTTGTAAAAATGGACTACCTGATTTCGGGAAGGCAATAGGAGCTAAATTGTGTCAGACATTCGAGATTGTATACTCGTCTTGCATTTCTCGATAGATTTTGGTCGTGGTAATTCATTTATTTGGAAATTACCAAGTTTCAATGTAGAAAAATGTGCCGTCCCAGGCGCAAGTCATGGGAAAAATGGCTCGTCGTCAACGTGTTAAAGCGCACAACGAAGGTTAGCGCAGCTGCAATTTGGTGGGCATCAAACCGCACCCAGTGGGCTGTTATGAGCACTTAGACCCGCGAAAATTCATGATTAAAACTTGGTCTCACTCGCAAGCAGTCTCGGATACCTAACAGGAGTTTTGCAGGTTTCACTAGAGTGAGAACTGTGTTATTTAAGATGGCATCGAGAATAAAAAAGCGAAATAAAATTATCCCTCCCAGCCGAAGAGCGCTAAGCATGCCTCAATTCATATTGGTTTCTAAAAGGCCTGGGCTCAGTTGGCAGAGCACTCATTGTTATCAACTGACGGGACGCAGACGGAATCAGGATTCGGCCTGACCAGAGAACTTGATGAATGGGCTACTCAATCATCCCTGCCACAAAAGGAGAGCATTTGAGCTCTCAAAAGATAAGTGACTGGGGTAGTTACTTGAAGAGTCAGTTGAAGAAGTTTGAGAATCAGTCAGTATCTTAATATCGAAGAAGGATAAGGCCTTCACCGTTGTCCAACACTTCTCGAGATGCAGCACGCTTTTCAGTTCATTGGTATGTAAGACGATGTCATACATACGTATACATACATACCCATACATACATACTACCCATACAATGACTTGCGGAGGTCAGCCATAAAAGTCACTGCTCTGATGCCCTCAAACGAACACCACTCACCATCCCTGGAGGGTAAAAGGTTTGCTTGGTATGCGGGGGCTAATCAGGGCGCTTATCCTCAAACCAATTGTGAGCAACTAAGAAAAACACTGTATAAAACTAATAATGCAGCGAACTGCACTAAGGCTGTCAAACCTGACCCGCGCTCATTTATCAATTCTAAAAACCTGGAATCTCGGAAACGTAGCGCTTTCTCCCTCAGCGATAGACGATTGGGTACCAGCAAGTCATCTAATGGAACATCATTAGGTTTCCCGGTAACCAAATAAGGAAAATGCTGCTTCATACGTTGCTGTACGTTGCGATACCAACTATTTCGGTACCGTAATTATTCCGGTACCTAATAGGAGGGACGAGCAGGTCGTTTGATTTCTGCTTCTCACGCATCCTCAGTTATACATTAAATGAAGTCTCCGTGAGCTGGTGTGAATAAGGGAAACAATACTTTCTTGAACCGGTTCAGATCTATAATATATGGAGATATGCCCGACTCATCCTCCATCGTCATTGTTGTTCTACTTATGTTAATATCTCTGCTATTATTGGACATATTCGAATTCGACTTTGGAAATGTCACTATTGCACCTGTGAAATCTATCGTAAGTCAGCGACTGAGTCAGGAGTGTGATTGTAAAGCAGGTGACTTTTTGCATAAAAAGAAATTCTTCTCTTCGTCCTCCTTGCCAGTTTGAGAATTTTCTTTCTCCCTTACTATGAGAATGGGAAGGATAAAATCCTATTCATCTTCCAATTGGCAGTTCCACCTAACTTAGTTCTAGTAATTCTCAGAGCTCTGCACTTAGGGCAAACAGACTGAACACATTATTGAAATCACTCCGTGCGCAATCGCACAATTCACGAGATATTCATAAGATAACACGTCCTGCCGTTGGGGGAAATTTCTGGAAAATGAGGTGCCCTTCTAATACCGTCGGTGCTACCCTTCTCCCCCACATCCCACACTTTTTTCAAGCCTCCTGCCACTTTTCTGAAATTTTTCAAGAATTTGCAGTCCCCGGAAATTTTCAGTCGGAGAACGAGGGTGGTATATAGCACCAGTAACCGGAAATACCGGCGACATTCCAACCGGAAAAGCAACACGGCAAAATTCTCTCATAGGCAGAGAAGGCAAATACGATCTCCACTCCCTCTTCCAGCGACGAGCAGGTACGACCCCCACCCTTGGAAGAATTGAAAAAAATGACCATTGAAAAATCAGCTGTCAAGTCTCAGACCACGTGGGACCCCTTCGTCAAAGAAACAAATACGCCCCCCCCCCTCCTCGCTGATTCCCAACGTACGCCTTACCCTGACTCATGAAGCTCCTTAGCCCTCGGAAGCACGGTGGATGACGGCAATATGACGAATGTGAAGCTCATCATACCAAATACGGGGCGCTGATCGACACACCTCTTAAAACAAACGGCTGAAAATAAACAAGTGAAGAACTCTCGACTAAGTCTTAAGAGCGCTGAGATCTTACGGAATGGCGTCGCAGAGGCGCTTCTTAAAATATAGCATTTTGTAGATGCGCTATAAAGAATTGATGCTCATTTAAAGTGTCATCTGTTTCCAATACCTCGTGCGCTTACAAATGAGGAGAAACGCGTTGTTGCAAAGGTTTCGTGAATTTCCGGGTGCTGTCAGCAGACAACACAAAAACTGCATCGCATCCGAACTGCCAATGCCGTTTAGACGCGCTCACTTTTGGCTGCGAGCTCATTTATGAAGTGCCTAGATCACCAAATCCGCTGAAAACTTGTACACAGGGTAATTTAACATCCTGATTACGAATATGACATTCATTCTTGGCGCTGGCGGAGGACACTACGATTTTCTTCTGGGCTCAGCTTTAGCACATCCGCAGATAATCATAGTGTCCCCATTAGCGCCAGCGCCAAGAATGAATGTCATATTCGTAATCAGGATGTTAAATTACCTCTGTATACAAGTTTTCAGCGGATTTGGTGATCTAGGCACTTTATAAATGAGCTCGCAGCCGAAAGTGAGCGCGTCCAAACGGCACTGGCCCATCCGGACGCGAGACGACGATCTCTGCTTTTCCGGTGTGGAACCCTACTTTTTATTGCCCAGTTCTCTCCACTCTACTCTTTCACATTATTTCAACGCGAGACATGATTGACATTACGTTGTCGTGAGCACTCCGTGCCACGAAAGGCGCAAACGCTAAACGCACTGTAGTACGTTCAACGTGTTCGGGACCGCGTGACACACATGGTTGGTCATGAATTTCTCTGTAGGTTATTATTCAATGTTGTCGTGGCACGCTTCCTCCTAGGTAGATAATACTTCATGAGCTGAAAAGAGGGAGAAACTAACTGATGAACCATTGCTGAAATATGGTAAAAGATCGAGCAGTACTGCGGCTCAATCACCTGTGAACAGGGCAATATATCTCGGCTTGGGTGTGGTAATGCTATCACGTCTCGTGGAACAAATAGAGCGCTGAGCGGACTTCTCGGCAAAAAGATAACACCTTCACAGAAGCTGGTACAATGAAGAATTTCAAGTAGTTTCTCAGGGAGATATGCTTGTAATCGGCGAGGAACTGCTAGGCTTTTCTGACACATTACTCGCTTGAATGGAGACACCACTAAATATCCACGGTCAAAAAAGCCTGAATAATGTGGACTCTTTCACTGAGATCCTTACAACTGACTGTTGTGAGTCCATCTGGGTTCTTCGCTGCTTCATGAGAAGCCAATACAGGTCCAGGATTAACGCGTAACTGTCGTTGCTTCCGGCACAACGGCGAGCGTACATAGTTTTCCAGGCTCTGCTGTGACAACATCTGCGGCCTAGGTAATTCCATCATGTAGCTAATTTGGAGGCGAGTACAAGCTAATAGCTAATAACGAATTATACTAATCATAAAAATTATACCGTTTCTTTTAGTAACATGCTTACCCGTTGCACCTATTCTTCCTGTTTCGGAGATTACCGTTACTGAGATTGTGCCGAATTCGATGTCAGAAAAGTCCCAGGTTATATCCAGACAGGAGTGGTACCAAAAACTAATGAAGAGCGGTATCGGTAGAAAGGTAAGTATGTGACGGCACAATCATCTAAGTAAAGCTCATGAAACACTGCGGATCCAGGTTTTACTGTTTGTCATCCCTGCTCGCTATTCAGGGCGGGCCCAAGATGAACATTTCTCTTGCTGCTGCTTACGAATACCCTGATCAAATCAATATTGTGATAACCTCCAGAAGCAAGATCGGGTAAGTTTTCATTACAGACACATACCACGTTGAATTCTGTCTTCGATAGCGGTTCTTCTTGCGAAGAACAACTGTGGGCAGATGTACGTTGAAAGCTGAGAAGAGGAGAAAGGGCGGTAACAAAAAGTACGGCGGCTGCCTCCGACTACGTCATAAGTGAATAAACACAACAAAAGGCAGTTCACATGTATTTCTGAGCTGGGAGCACATCTGCTCGCAAGGAGAGGGTTTATCTAGATACCTCTCTCTGCAAGCCGATATACCAAGAAGTTACACCATTCCAACATCTCGATGTGGGAGTCGGATGCATGGCGCAACACAGAGGAGATATCAAGCGGCGCCAAATAACCATTTGCTAATAACTTCGGCGAAAAGGGTCTACAACTACTGTACTAGATGTTCGGAGGGTTCTTAAGTCTTCAGGGAATTTGGAAATGTACTGCGCCAGAGATGTGGGTTCTTCGCGTGTCCAGACCGTCACAACCAAAACACAACGGAGAAGGAAAAAGGGAGGTGCTCTCAATAAAGGGGAAGCCTTCTGCATTCCCCCACTGTTTTTGGTTTGTTAGGCGATCACATCTGACAATGAGTTTACCTTTGTGGCTATTCAAAGCAAAAAAAAACTCGTAGGTGGCATGAAAATTCAACACGACGTCACTACTGGGATATTCTGCCGGAATGGAGTTATTCAGGGTGGTTTGAGCACATTCAATTGCTATGGGATCTAGCGGTTTACAACCTTCTCGGAAGCTCTACTATCGTTTCTTTTCAAGTATTCTGCTCGATACCATTTCATTTTGGCCTCTTTTTATCCTTTTTGGAATTTTGTTCCGAGGAGAGGGGAAGAAGACTCGCGCTTGAGATCTGTTTTCAGTGACCACCTCATAAACTATGCATGCTCGAAGTTACAATCAGAACGGAGCCCATTAAGATAGTTAAAATCGCCCATTCTTGTCAAATTCTTTTCACTCAGTTTTGACTCCCAGAAACGCATAGCAAAAATGAAACCCATTTTTGTGATCCTTGTATGGACCCCTACAACAAGCAACAAACCATTTCCAAAAAGCGCGCCACGACCTGAAAGACCTCCCTTGTAAGTGTAGCACATACTTATTAAATACGAAGACATACTCCTAATCCTGAAAAAAGGATTCACAATGTTCAGTCGCATAAGGTTGCTGCCTCGATGCCTTTAGCTAAGCCTGGCTTCGCTAAAGGTCCTGTACTTCTTCGTAGATTCGCTAGTTACAGGGATGTAGTCTACTGTCGTTATTTTGACGAACGCCGGAATGAGAATGGTAAAGCATTCAAAACTATGGTATTTCCGGACTTCAATGTAGACTGCCTCCTTCGCGAAGGCGCTGCTTTTATGTCACTGACGGATACACCTGATGGAGCATACGAATATCCTGTTCCTGTTATTAACCGCACTCAAAGAGGTGAGCGAATACAGTTTCGACAGTGTCACTCAGCCAATTTATCACCGAAGGTAAACTGCGAATTTCTTTGTCACTCTAAGCTTTTCTTGGAGAAGTTTTTGTTGTAGTGAAAGACAGGTTGCAGGGAGTGTTTCAACAGCAGCACAGAAACTTGAATAAAATCTTCCACTCTTTACGGAACGGACAGTAGTTGGCAGAAAAGCATGCGCTACCACACAGAAACATGCCTTGTCCATGTTAGAACATAATTATGCTAATGGTAAAAAAGGAATATGAACTACTTATTTCTCCCTTGCAGATAGGATGACCTGCGGGTCATACACAACCAAAATGAACGATATATGGATGACTGATTATCATTACTATCATTCTTTGGAGTTGAAATAAACATACATTGGTAGTTCTAGTCATTATTCAGATCTCAAGATAAAAGTAAAAAACAACAAATTAATCATAGAACTTCACCATGAAGCAGACGATTCGATTTCAATGTTATGAGATTACACCATAGGGAAACCAATATATCCCTACTTAATAAAAGGCCCGTACATTATTTGGAGCAGTCGAAGAAAAGATAAAGGAAATGACTAAAGCGCTTCAGAGCAACGGGTTCGAGGATGACTTCATGTTGTCCAACATAATTAGGTGTATTTATAAGAACAAATTTATTCGATCTAAGTAAGGAATAGATGACAACATTGATAAAATTCGTCGGTTGATAAGCAATACTATAGAAGTCTTGAGTTAATTAGTTTGTAATCGTTTGGGTCATCTATATTTGTACAACTAACTTTTCTGTTTAAGTTTTTTTGGCAGCGAGCCGTTGAACACATTGATAATACGCTCTAATTTGTTTATATGTAGGGGCCTTTCTCCAGTGAGTATTATATGCAGACCTATATTATACATCTTGGGCCTATTCTGTGTGTCTATTCACTCTGCAGCCTACTAATTTTCATGTATTTTTTTGATAGTTTGATTTTGTTGTAGTTTTTTTTCTGCATACCTGCTTTCTTACATGTTTCACCGTTTCTTCATAGTTTGTCTTCCCCTAATCACTGAAGAGCCCCAGGGGAAGTGCAAACAACAGTGGTTCGTCTGATTGAGAAGCGTGAATCACCTCTTGTGTTCTTTATTAGTATACCTGGTGCAACTTTTTGTTCGTATCTTTTCACTTCATTGCACACGGCTGAGATTCACTGAACTACGACGGTAATCAGTGGTCGGTGAGTAACCAGTTCCTTTCAACAGGTTACAAATTTTCTCTGATTTCATTGACCTGTACAACGCCCAGATCCCCCAAGTCAGGCATACCACGACTATGAATTAAATTATTAGGTCATCCCATTCAAAAACGTGGAGACATAAAGGAGTGGCAGGAAAGCAAAGATGCTAGGGCTCGGGGTACTACATTGTTCAAAAGCTAGCACATTTCGCTAAGTATATATGAAAATGCTGACCTAACCGCAGAGGGATTCTCAAGAAATTGAAAAGAAACCTGAGTGGCAAAAACAGCGTTGGAATGTGGATTATTGGGCGTCATAAGTGGAAAGTGCTAGAATTTTTCCTAGGCTGGACCAATAGTTGTGTATAACGGTGTTTTCAGAGCGGAATGTGGAAGATTTGTTTTTGAAGCACTAGCCACTGTCGAGCTTACCCGCGAAACTGACACACCAGCTGCCCGACTTACGTTTGAGGCGATAGCCTCCGAGTTACCGCTGGCGTTTACGGGACCGATGGTCTGTAGACGACGTGATCGATTGACGTTTTTCCTCTCTTATAATCTCTGATTAAGCATTATAGAACTTCAGTACAAAACAAGTGGTTTTTATTGAACTTTTATTAATAATTAGCTCAAGCCTCAACACTTGCAATTCTCAGCACAACAGAACTTAACAATATGTAAGTCCTATTGATGCTCAATTTTTCTGTCATATGTTAGTCTGTATTCTTCATTTTTTGGCTTCGTATCGGCTTACTTTTAAAGACGCTCCATCTCGCCAGCTACCTTCTCTCTTTCGTGAAAAGTTGTGATTCCGAGTGCTTTTAATGGTATATAGATACGAGTACTTATCAGTATACTAGTGGACATACCGAATCACTTGGTTTCTCTACTAGGACTTCAACCAGGTTTCCTCTTGGATGTACTAGAGACTGGAGTGTCGTACTCCCCCATCTTAATTTTCCTTCCTATAATTATGGCATATTTCAGTACAGCTTAGTTTAGATAGATATAGTACTGGTGTACTCCATAGTCCATAAACTGGGCAGCGGTGAGTAATAAGCTTATTTCAGCGCCGATCCAGTATTCAAAGGGTAAACCTAATTTCATTGCCAAGATGGTAGACCTATACTTCTGGAGGACTGATATAAAATAGTGTAGTCTGCATGAATCACATTCTTTGTTTGTCCCGCGTACCAGTTGGCACAAGCATACGGTTGCGGTAAGCGGCGTTTGTGCGCGAGACGTGGTGGTTGCATCGAAACGGATATTTTCTGGAGAAGGTGTGGGGGAGGAGGAGAAGTTTCTTGGTGGTCGTAAGAACTTCCTTCAACTTCTAAGCGACTGTACAACCTTGAGTGCTACTTGTGTAATGGATCAATTGGAGCCTCTCCTCCTGCCCGATGCCTGCGCGAGATGGAATGCGCATCCTTCGACCGATGCGTTCGGAAAGACTCTCTTTGCTGTACTGATAGAGGCGCGCTCGGAATCCAGTACAACGCTCGAACCTAGCCGCGTTGCTCGTGTTACTGCCCCTCTGATTGTACTGAACACCGTTTCATAAGTTACTTCCGTCTTACTTGATCAGCTGTCAAAACACAGTGCAATTACGGCTGTAAGAGGGGTATGAGTAGGGTTGTGCTTAGTCAGCCGGCTCGTCGTTATGGCATATAACAGCGGCACATCCACGCCTTGCAAGTCACCCCATGAGCGATATAGAGGAGCTGAATATTATTTTTTGTGACTTCTCAGCAAGTCACCCCATGAGCGATATAGAGGAGCTGAATATTATTTTTTGTGACTTCTCACTGAAGGTCGTGCACACCATCCGCCACAGCGATTTGAAGGCCGGCTGCGCATGCTTTCTGAGAGCGTAGTCATTGTGGGATGTGCAAAATATTGTAGCATGTGCATAAGAAGAAGAAAAGGCAAAAATCGGTCATCTCCGTTACGAAAAACAAATTGAGCAGGAGCTATTAATGTTCGAAAACTATTAGAGAACTTCTTCGAAGTGTTCTGCTGCTCACTTCAGACTCCTCCCAGGCGAATACCGCTTTTCAGGATCTGCGCATAATTCTTCAATATCATACCTCACTTAAAATTAGTGATATGACTATGAGAGGGAAATGATGAAACTCACGTGAAAATTAGAACGGCAACGTTTACCAGCGAGCCATTTTTTTTCAACTCTCCACTTTTCTTCTCACTTCCTTTTTCATTTACGCGACAGAAACTGCCTGAGTGTACGAACTAATAACAAATACACAACAGATCGCAGAAGAATTAGCCAATATCGCACCAAAATACCGCCAGTAATTCTCGCCATCAAAAAAAACTTCCAGCAAAGTTGTTATGGTAAAGAGCGTGGATAAAGAAAAATAAGAATAAGAACACTCAAGAAGTACAGGGCAAAGACCATGCAAAGAAATAACACTTCTGACAAACTGCTCTTATCGATTACAAGCTGCCAAAACGCCAAACGCCAGGTCAGGGCTCACCACAGCGCCACGGTTGGCGCGCGCGGTGACCTACTTTCGAACGCAGCGGTGACTGCAGTCATGCACCTTAGTTGGTCATCACGTCAAACGTGTGAGTGCTGTAAGGCTATTGAACTAAAGTTGTTGCTTTTACAGAATGCTGAGTTATGGGCAAAAGTCGGACCACGGACGGGATTCGAACCCGCATCTTCTGCTTACCGTGCAGTGCGTTCCCTATTACGCTACCGAGGCCACTTTTGACCACTCAGCTCAATGGCTATTTGTGCCATTGCCTTCGAGCACTCACACGTTCAACGTGATGAGCCGGTTAGCCGATATCGGCAGTGAACCGCAAGGCTGAAGGCTTTTTACAAGTTTCAAGCTGTTATTGTTTGTTAACTGCTGTTTAACGCCGCAGTACGCGATCCGAAAGCTATCGGATCGCGTACTGCGGCGTTAAACAGCAGTTAACAAACAATAACAGCTTAAAGTTGTTGCGTTAAGAAGGTGAGAGGGGCCTTGGTTGCGAACAGATCTCGCAAGATCCCTTTGCAACCTGAAAAGCGTGAGAAGCGGGTTTGAGTCCCACCTAGAGTGATGGTTTTTGAGTAAAACTCAGCATTTCTGTGAGACTTGAGTACTTCGTAACTCCAATTGAGTTCCTCGAAGAAGACCTTCTCAGCAAACCATGTCGAACACACTCTCTATTCCCTGAGTGCTGTACTGCGAGTCGCTCCAAAGACAAGCACAAGGAGTGCTCTACAAAAGCAGCCAAGACGAGAGCATCTACTCCTACTGACGTGAGGCCCCATATTGCCCAATTCTCCTGACACAACCTTCTCTGACCACAAATCAAGAAAGTCTCAAAAGAACTCCGCCCTTTCGAAGTTTTCTTGGCTGAGAAAGTATTCCGGAAGGTCCCACGATATTAGCCGGGAAGTCATTTAACAGCCTTTTCATTTTTAAGGAAGGGCATTGCTGTCCTGATCAGAAGGCGCTGTTTTGGCAAAAATAGAAATTTTATTGGCTTGATTTTGATCATGTTGAATCAGGAAATGAAGGAAGAACTTCCTTGCTGCCCTGATATTTGTAACTACTTTCTCAGCATACAGTGATGCTGTCAGTTACAAAAGAATCGTAGCAGCTGCCAAAGAGTATACTTGAAATGAGAATCCATTCAGTGGCATTGCTTCAGTAATACAGCGTTTCAAAAATAGAACGCCACACGTTGGACAACTGGTTGATTTATGAAAATGATTTCCAAGTGTGTCCAACTTTCAGCCCACTATTCAAGCTGCAAAATTTTTAAATGCATTCAGACTTGTTGAGTGAAACTATTATAAAAATTGGAACGGTGTGCATATCATTCTTCAGAACCTAAATACTTCTTCTCTGTTTGTGTTGCGCCAGTTTTCGGCACGGAACCAAAATGGTTACTATTAGCCGAACTTATTGAGCACTACAAACTGCAGGTTCGAAAAAGTTTAACTTGACTCACTTCCATAAGTCCCATCAGTCGCATGTTTTATTTCTTAAGGGAGCCTCCTACTTTTACGTCTATTCAAAACATATCGACGAGTACAGCCGCATCCTTCTCGATGACTACATTCGCACTGGAGAAGCGGAAGCGGTTATTTTGCACGATCGTTTCCAAAGACCCGATGACAGATGGCAGGGAGTACAATTGCAGGTGATCACAGTTATTCATATTTGTCTATAAAAATAGTAAGCGTCTTTTGAATCATGAGGAAATGAAATATGTAATGTGGGATATAGCGACAGATTAGTGTGGTGCAGTTATTTATGTACCTATGCATATGGTGTGCTGTGTAGAGCTGTAGTGGTTATAGGCAGCCGTATGCCTGTCTGTACGGCACCGCTGCGTGACTGTGGTGTGCGTTCGCGCGTCGAATGGTAGAAGGGGTGGGGGGGGGGGAGAGACGAAAACCAAATCTGTCGCGAAATTGTCACAAAACTCTTACCTTAGTTCTGCACGTTTGCCACTGGGAAAGTGCTACCGCTTCCGTTGGTGTGGATGTGCCTAGCTCGCACGTGGGAAGGAGCCATCTTTCAGATCATCTTTCATACACTGGGTTTCTAGAGGTCTCCGATAGAACCTATCCCGAGAGAACTACTAGAAGGAGCGGCTTGCACAAAAAAAGGCACAAAAAACGCTAAACTAAGCGGAAGCTGTAGTGCTGAGGCCGAAGCAGCGGAGCCACATCCAAATGATGGCGTCGACTAAATAGGACACTTCGTGCGCCGGAGATCTTCAGCGACGCGAGTTTCTTTCAATAGCTGAAAACATCCTTATCGACAGTGAAGGATGTTTTCGGCTGAGTTCTCGGTTTTTTCCCCGTTTGACGTGCGCTTTAATATCCCCTTTCCACACTCCAAGGCGGTATTTGAGAGAAAAATGAAAATTTCCTGAAGAACCTTCTAAAAAGTGGTAGGGTTGGGAGCTTGCGAAAATGGTAGAAAGCATGAATGGAAATAGAGGGGGGGGGTCGTGCCTTATCGATGCGAGGGAACATTTTGAGGGGAGGGGTTGTAGTATTAGTATTAGTGTAGTATCTTCCCAACGGTATAACCTGCCCTGAGTGCGGGGCTTTTCGAAATAGCGGCAGTGATCGGTTGAGAACCACACCTCGGCACAGTCTAAAACACCAGTATTCCATACAGTGAACCAGCTGACATCACCTTCTTTCATTTTGTTCCAGCGTATACGTAGTGTTCAAAAGATTCCAAATTTTAAGGACTGCCTTCTACGGGCTCGTCGGCATTCCCAATGGATCGCTTTTATCGATCTTGACGAGCGGTTGGTCATGACAGATTACCCTGGGACCATCTATGACTACTTGAAGTTAGTTTGAAATTGTTTTGAAATCGTATGTACACATCGGGATTCAGAGTTGGTCTTTTTATAATGCATATTGGAAGGTTAATTGTCGGAAACTCTTTGAATCGTATCAAATTCGCTCCCCATTTTCTCTTTTATATGTGCGTCACCACACTTCCAAAAGTTCTTCAGAAACATTTCAAACCCGAAAATTGGAGCAATACAATTTCGACAACGATGGATTCTCAAGAATGATTCACTCCCAGAACGATATGAAGATGCCGAGCAGGTGAACTGAGGATTTGTTTTTATCCAGCAAATTGGAATGTACGCAGTTTTCTCAATGCGGTAGCCTTTTCAACCATTGTTGGTTCAAAAAAAAGAAGTTCCACAGATATAGTAATTGCACTGCCAGGAACTGAATGTGTGCTACTGCTGGTGTTGCATCATCGGAATCAGTCGGAGGCATGCAATCTCCGTTTTCTCCCGAATTGATCATCAACGATCACTGCTGGCAGAAAAGGCAGCTTCGGGCAAGCTTGCAACACCCGTGGATATCGCCCGGTTGATTGCAACTACACCAACTGAACAACTGGCGGTATCAGACTCTGCTCTTCCCCTATCCAGTCTGTATCTTATATTCTGCACCTGAGGCGGCGGTGGTGTAATGGCAGGTGGCACGCTTACCACGCGCTCCGGGGATCATGCCCTTCGATTCCCTCCCGGGCCCACTAAGGATTCTACCGCCGGAGGCGGTAACCTGGTATCAGGTCCCTTTGGGAGGGTAACAACGTGACATGTACATCGGCTGGCCTACGCAACTCATTGTATAGGTCACATCACAGCGAGATAGTCGATTTCTCCGCCACCGTAGACCACCCTATTGAACTCCGCCCGAACCGGGTAATTGAGGGGATTCAGGTCAGGTGACCTACTTGGATATTCCATCTTCTTTAGGTACTCAGCCCCTTCCATTCCAAGTAGGCGAGAGTTTCTCCAACGCCCTTCGATTTCATGTGGTGGCACTCAATGCTGTAGCAGTACAAAGTTTCCAAGAAGGTACGGGCGACGACATGTGAGGAGGATATTCTTCACGAGTTGCTCGATGTAACCGCCAGCGCTCACCTTCAGTCCGGGGTCCACGAAGAAAATATTGGTCTTTCCATTCCAGGTACGTCCGGTCCATACCATCAACCCGCGCCTTGGACTGCGGTGAAGATGATGTCCTAGACCGTAGCGACGTTGTCGGAGCTGCTCGATGTTGGAGGTCTTCCAGATTGAGAGTACTGGTCTCCAGGTAGCTACCCATGGGTGACTCCACACTAGAAGTTTCGCAGCTGTTTGGAGGTGACATGAATTCCAAAGGTCTTCTCCAGTCAGGCTGCGACTGGAGATGACTTCATATTTTGGTGTACATGAAGGTGATGGGCGAGAGCCAGCTCCTGCTTATCGAGGAACATCTTGGGTATCTTCGCCCTGGTACTCGTATCCACGTCTTCTCTCTGGGCTGCGAAAACTTTGCTGATATGTGACTCGGTCGAAGTGACTTTTTTTGCCCCCCCCCCTGTATATCCAGGGACGAAATTTGTTAATGCCGAAGACTTCATCCTTTACTTCATCCTTTATCCTGCAGCTGCGTAGTGTTTTCATGAGGTTATTGGGGTCAGTGTATTTTTTTCTTAGAACTTCGCATGGTCTTCTTCTCATTAAAGGTGAGCACATGGATGCCGACGCGGCGCTACCATAATACCTCGCACGTTGGTCCACCCGGCCATACAACGAAGTGCATTGTCGACCCGGAAAAGGCAAGCTAACTCTCCTTTTTATTTTTCAAAACAATCGCAAGTTTTCTCTTTTTTTACTTTTTTTTGGTCTCATAAGCACAGCTTGCCCACAAGGGATGGATCGTGACTCGCTATGGCCATCAGATGTGCAGTGCATTCCACTACAAATGTCATCGGATGCGTCTTTCTAATCTCACTCCAAATCGGCGAGAAGATTTTGGGAACAGATTTATGAACGTTTCTTCATGCAGCAGCCAGAAGGTCGTGAGACGAATATTTGACGTAACGTGGCACTCTACGCTGCTGAGTCACTGCTCACCTATATTTATTATATGCTATTTAATTCTTTGCCTGCATCGACTATTTTCACTTTTTATTAATGTTTCAGAACATGCGAGTAGTTCATTACAAGATTGGACGCCTTGCGGTTTAAAAAATGCTAGGGCATGTCACCACTCACAGCTCTCACCGCAAGCGATTTCGTCCTCAGAGAATGTGATATCATTTGAGGGCGCTCAAACTACCTCTAGAACCAGAATTTTGGCTGAATATGAGATTTCGGCTTATCTTGAAAATGTGGGGCGGTCACGGTTGAGCGGAGGCCCAGTAATGCCAAGCCAGGAGCCCAAGCGCCAGCTTGACGTTCTCTAATCTCTCAACGATTTGGCAACATTTCCGAAAACGGTGTGCTACGGTTTTACCCACTTCACATTCTCCTCCTCGAAATTTCCTCTCGCTATTTCTGGTCTTTTGACTCTCACTTTGCTAATATTCTAGAAGGTCCGGGGATAACTAGTAGGTAATTCCATCCCAAAAGCCGCAGCCCATCATATACCAGCCTGAAACCGCTTTCTGCAGCGATTCACCCATGATCACACTCTCACAATTTCGCAGTTAGCTAGAAAGTTGTCTCCCAAGAAGCTTGAAAACCCGAACACGAATGTGTCTATTTGGCGGCTCTGGTTTCCGTTTCCCCTTGAAGTCAGTACCTCTTCGAGAACCTCTTCAAGTGCTTAGCAAATCATAAAAGGGCACAGATATTCAAGAGACACTTGAATACGTCCACAATTGGCAAAAACACGTCCAAAAAAAGCAAAAAGAAACGTACTCCATGGATCGCAACCTTCAACCCGCTCCTAGCCTGTACATTCACCAGCTGTGCCAAGTGACAATAATGGTCACTCTCAAGAGGTTTACACGCGCGCAAAAGTCTATAGCACCGCAGGAAAAACTCCTATAATTCCATTCCAAAACTGTTTAGTACATTTGCAGCCCTGTTCTGAAATCAGCATACGAAAACACATGTAGGAGTAGACATCTCGTCTCAGATGGCCATAGCGGGTAGGTGACCCGTCTCCATATGGAGAAGATTCGTTTTCTTCACTGCATTTCATGGGATTATTAAAGGTTCTAGTGATGAGCGTACATTATGTGCAGAAGTTCTTTGATGACTATTTTCTATATCGCTTGAAACCCGACGAAGGAGTTGTGAGGTTAGTTGCCAAATTGCTTGCTTCTCTTAAAGTTTGGTAGGCACTGTTCAGTCTATCGCATGAGCGGAGTCAGACCCGCCATTGCGC